TAGTTAACTTTCAGCCACACAAGCCTCTTATTTCAGAATGTTCACTTTGTCTGGTTTTGTTGCAGTCTGCCCCATATAATGTAGAATAGTCTACAATTAACTCTGTTTATAACGATCATTTTCATATCGACTGCCTGTGCTTCCCAAATTGTATTTCTTAATGATAATAATATTATACTTGCTGCATATAATGACCAGTTTTGACTGTAATTGTATTCTCTCATTTTCAAATATTGATATCAATGTTTTGAAAATTGAGCATAGAAATCATTATATATATTAGAATCTATGATACTTAATAACACAATTGGCACGTCCCCATCTTTAATTTTCGATTAGATTATGACAGTAAATTTTTGTGAATAGAATATAAATATGGACCTTTCGTATGAGAAAAGGTAGAGTCTGTAACGTTACGGAATAACCAGCAAAGACATAATTTTATAATTAGGTTCAGCCTCTAATATTAATGCGACTACTATTATGTAAACAATAATACGCCAGAATTATTTGTAGATCATTCTTAGAGTTGCTAAAATACCAATCTTGTGTTTCAGATCAAAGATACAATATTAACAGCGACGGTCCACAAATTAAATGCTGTACAATTTAATGTAACTTTCATCTGGTTCATTTAAATTTTACCCTACAATAATTATCCACTTTCATGCTTTATTTAATTGTTCCGTGAACCGTCGATGGAGGGATTTACTGGATAAAGGCCAAAAGCAGAAATAAGGAGCGAGCATTTACACCGATACAGAAGATCGACCAGGGATTGCTATTATCTAACATTGCCATTACTATTACTAAAACCAAGAAGTCCTTTTTCTTTTTATGATCTTGTTCATGTATGGATGTCTTTACCACGTCTAATGTATAGTTTCTTTTCACGATGGATGATACACAGTTTTTTGCATTCACCTACTGGTGTGACGATAGGTAGGCCGCTTTCACAGAGTAAAAGAAGTTGCGATTGTGATTACGTACTATTGTCTATTGTTTGTCCTGACGACATACGCCGAACGTGTCATCATTTACTGATGTCAATCAAAAAAAAAAAAAAAAAGCTACGGATGTAATACCTGACTGGGCAGCTCGACTTTGTACAATATGAATAAAACTGTAAAATGAAATCCGGCAATTTACGACACATGGCTTTTCAATCGTTTACTTTTATTGATTTAGTCAGTCTTTCAACTTAATCATCAGTTAATTTATTGCCTATTGCAAAGGTTTTGGTTGCCAAGCATTGTCCGTTCAACTTGACAGGGATTGTGATGTATCAAGACTTTACTACAAATTTGAGGGGTCAACCCTGAAACGTGTATATTCAAACGTGTATATTTAATATGTTAAATGTGTCACAGTTCATTATTGCAAAATCATCGCATATTATTCCTTTTTACATAACAGGGGTGGCCTTTTTTGTCTTAGTCTCCCCTCCTTCTTGAAACAGCAACCGCATAGCGATAGTAATTACACTAGATTCCATATGGGGTAATCAATCTGCAGAACAATTCCGAACTCTACTCGGCCATTCCTTAAATACTCCTTAATACACCCATTATATATCCCCTCTTAGGCTCACCGTACAGTTTCTGAATCTCCCCCACCCTCCTTCGCTTCTAAGAGTAAAGCAGCCTGGCGCTGGCTCGCCCTACCGACCAATTATTATCTCCAGTTCTAAAGCAATACATTCTCAAAACATTGCGCTCATCTCATAATATATTATAGAAATCAGCTACTTTCGGTTTTTCGCTTTTATACAACAGAAACTGTTCATCGACCTGTCCTCTCTTTTAATATGACTAATAAACAACGCAAATACAATGAAATAACTCCAAGGCTGAAGGCGTCGTTTGCATTCTTGGAGTTCCTTTACTTGGTCACTGGCGCGGTGCTGATCTTATTTGGTGTCCGCTGGTTGATAACAGCCGACGATAATGTTCGAAGCTTTGTTGTCACAGAAGGTCTTCTTCTTGGTAAGTTGGTAGTGGACAAGAGAATGATCGAAAAACAAAAAGAGTTTGCATCAAGTTTTACAAAATGGTTTTCGTATGAAAAAGTTTCATGTATCGGTTAATGACATGTACACTCTTCGAACTCGTTTGTTTCTACTTTAACGAATGCTAACCCTTCTAACACAATAGGTGCCATAATTGTCGGTGGATTTATTGTATTGGCATTCTTTATCACTATTCCACCATTCTTGAGTCCATTGCGACGAAAGAATTGGCTTAATACACACGCTGTTATGGTAGTGCTTACTGCGATAGCGTTATTGACTCTTGGTGCTCGTATCTGGTTTACGACCCTTCAAGAACGCAAGATGCTTGGTAACAAATGGGCCGCTTTGAGTGATGCAGGAAGGGCTGAATTTGAAGACGAGGTAACCAGCATAATATATCAAAGACAAGACAAGACAAGACAAGACAAGACAACTCATAACATCATCGGTTGTCTTGTGATTAGAATTTCTTTCTCATCCTCTGTATATCATCCATTTTTATTCATATTTTGTCTATTCTTTCTCATTAAATAGCTACAATGCTGTGGATGGTTAAATGTAACGCAAGAAGAAGCCCAGTCAAACTTTTGCACGCCAGATGTGTTAAAAGACCCAAACACAGCTCCATGCGTCAACAAACTTGCCGCAGCTTCTGATCTCATACTTCGCCATCTATTTACAAGTCTTTTTGGATTCATCGGAGTCGATATATTTGCTTTCTTTGCAACAGTCATTTTTATTCAAGCCATTAACGTCGAGCAACGATACGAAAAAATCGATGAGAAGAATGGTGCTAGTAGACATTATGTATAATGAGCACAAACTATTTGTCAATATACAAGTTATATACATTTATACAATTGAGACCGAACTGTAGGAATACGTGACGTGTGTTTAGAAAAAGGAGGGTATTAAAGTGAGAGTGCGATTAACAGTAAGAGAAATGTTCCTTTACTGCATAAAATCCTGTCATTGTAAAATTTTGTATAAACAGGTTTTGTTATTTAATAAAACTCTAGTATTTGATTGGACGTTTTCGATCATGAGATGTCGTCGTCATTTAGTTTCAAGGGAATCTGGTGCGCTATCACCGAATAAGGCAATAAAGTAATTAAAACAAAATTACGAAACCAATCAAATACATATCGACCTAGATATTGGGCTACGGCCAATTAAGATGACCGATTTTAATACTGTTACAGTTAGAGTTGCGAGAAAGTCGGAACTTTTCTGCAGTGAGAGTGTGTTTATACGCAACATACTATCGCGTTCTCTCAGACAGGCATTTTCATTATATTGTATAGTAAGCTCGGTTGGCCATGCAATTCTTAAAACAAAAACAAGTAATAATGGACAACATCGTGAGTGCAATAACATTTATCTTTAATTCGAAAGACAAGGATTATCCTATTTCATGTATTACATCATGCATCCGCATGTTTCATCGTAACCTATAACTTTGCACATTTCTCCGTCATCAGCTCATATCTTGTTCATCTGGGCAAACAAACTTTAATCATCATGGAACAGGAAAAACAAAACTACATACCGTATTCTTCCGAAAATAAGCAACACTTTTTTGTTTTATAGTGTTACTTATTTTTGGGTAGTTTAATAAAATCACACTGAATTATGTGATAATACCACTGACTCCGTCATTAGCGAGGATGATATCATTGACATCATTGATGAGACGGATTAATCATTTTCTTTATTGTAACAATAATAATAAAAGAAAACAACTAATTGAATACATTTATAAAGGTAAATTATTTATTCTGAAGTGTTGCTTATTTTCGGGTGTTGCTTATTTTCTAATATACGCTAGTCCTATCTTTTAACCGCTATGTTGCACATCGGTTTATATGATATGTATGAATGTGACATTAGTTGCTGAAACCTCATTTGCCAAGGGAAGCAATCAAATTTCATGTATAATCAGCCATTACATAGGACAGTACTAATATCAGTTCAGTCATAATAATGAAAATCTCTTTTATTACTGCAGTACTGTAACAAATGTCGCTGTTTTACGCCCAATGGTTGAGTCATGTAAAATCCCTTGCGGCAATGCGACCCATAGTGGCACAGAATTGTATTATTGGTAAATGCCACGGATATTTGGTTCTAGTGTTACGCGAATCACAATAAACATATTATTCAACAACGACTACTCACGACAGAGACATTTCATACCCAATAATATCGTGCATACCATCACTATCGACCTCAATATACCGATATGTATATTGAATTCCCGACATCGACTATTACTATTGAAAAAAATGTTGGGATTATGATAATGATAACGGTATTTTATTCCTTGAACTGTTTTCGGTTCAAATTTGGATCGTTTCATATCTGCCCTATTACTGAGATATACACCCGCTTCGTATAGTTTGGCGGAACCGAGATATTATACTATAGAATCACGTGATATTTGTTGCGGCTGGTGGTTGTATAGAGCTTTGTCAAATCAGTCTTACTCCAATCAAAAGATTAAATTATGCTTTTTGCTTGGAATAAATTTTGTTATTATGGCATTTTCGGTCTAAATCTAAAGTGTTAGATTAATTCTCTAAACGTCTCGAATATGAAAAAAAAAACTGATCAGAAAGTAAACATAAGCTCCGTTGCAAACAATAATAGTAATAGCTAAATTTTTAAGGCTAAGAAATTATACGCAAGCATATTACTGTATATTTTAGATAAACTCTACGAAAGATTTCAGCTGTTTGTTGTTGAACTGTCAATTAATTGATAATTTTCGAACTTTTGCACTGCACCGTGAATTATGTACA